CAAACTTGATTTTTTTTTTTAACATCTAACAGGCATACTAATGAAAAAATTGCCTCATTAAATAGCCATAAATGCTTTAAATAGCATTTCTTTGTAAATCCTTCAGGCTGTATTAAATGATAGGATTTCAGAACTCAGTCCAAACCCTACCCTCCCTTCCAGCAATGTTTCTTTGGAAACATCTTGGAAAAACAAAAGAGAACAGGAAAAGACATTCATAGAACATTAATCCACACAATGACCACCACAAGACTGAGGCCACTGACAGAGCTAAGAGTCCGTCCAACTCATAATTCAAATTACAAAGGACAAGAAACAGAATAACAAAGAAAAAAGTCTTCTTAAAAATTATATAGAAATATGCTTCATCTAAATAACAATTGCAGCACAATACTTATATACTTTACTCTCAGTAGGGTATGCAGTGATTCAAGTACATTCTTTCTAACGTACAGCAACTTAAGCAACAGAGACACAGACGATGCCCTAGAAACATTTATGTGTAATAAAGACTAGTCCTACACACACTTTGAGGTCTCAAAATGAAAGCTTTCTCTCCTAATCAGTGTCTCCAGGAGGCATGTCTACCCTTCCCTCTCCTCCACTATGTTGTATTTGTATAAATGGAGGACTATGGTCTCACAGTCCTCAATCCTAGAGTTATTAAAAGAAAGCAAGAACAGAAGATGATGGCCAATCAAGAAAAGGGACAACTGAGCAAATCATGGTCACTCCTCAAAGAAATTCAGGTTAGTGAATTTACATGGGTGAATCAAAGCACTCCACTCCAAATGTAGTAGGGACCAAAAAATTCCAATATCATCACTGTTCAGGTTAGTAATATTATTGCAGCTAGTGCCACTAAATGAAATTAGGAAAAAAAATTAAACCCAAATTATTATAGACATCACCAAGCCTTCTTGTAGAGAACCAGCGCAGATATTCATTAGAGTTCACTGCATTACCCCTAGATGTGTTCATGCTACACCAGGGGAGGACATCTCATTTACTGGAAAGAACCTTGGCTGATTCTTCTGATACTCCTGATACTTCAGGCCAAATATAAGCCACCACAAGAGGAAGAACTGATTCCAAAGTAGCCTATTCCTATGTTCATTGTGTTCATTAAGAGTAGTTTCACCTACAGTGTACCCTAAAAGTCTTTGAATGAGTATGCAATTAAGAGATTCACGATTTTCTGTAATCAATCCTCAGCAACATTCTGTATATCCCATAAGGGATCAAAGGAGTGCACTGATGAGACTCCTGCAGACTTGCAAATAGCACCTGCTATAGCTGAGGAAATAAATACACTTCTACAATGGAGTCTCTGAGAATCTTTGTTCTTGAAAATTCTCTCAGCTATCCAGTAATCTTTGTGGCAAATGCTACCACCAAGTGACAGGAGATCAGCAAGAAAAAAGTTAAATTACATCAGATATTTCACACAAAATTCAGTGATTCTTATGAGGAATGAGATCTTCAAAGCCAAATTGAATTTTATCTATAGCATAGAACAATAAAAAATACCTTAGCAAAATACATTAAACAATTACATTTGTTTAAGCAATGAGAAAAATCAACAAGAAGCCAACTGCTATTCAGCTTAAAAATACACTGTTGAAATAACAACCTTTTTTAACTATTCGCATTCACAAATTTTAAATACTTCATAGTCTTAAATCACATTAATTTTATTTTGTTTGCCATATTGAATCTGATCATTTATAACACCACATAAAAAGAAGAAAATTTGAAAAAAAAAATCAAAAAACAGAAGCTCAAAACTCTAATCTGCTACACTCAATTCTTCAACTCTTTTGGTGATTAGATAAGTTCAAAACTTTCTGCCTCCTTAGATATTTTCATATTCCTATTTATTCTATAATTTATATTTAATAACAAATTAATTTTCTTCACAAAGCTTTCCCACACAGCAACCTCTCAGGATGATAGTACACAGAGAGGCAGCATGTATAGTATCCAGGCCACTTTGTTCTCAAAAGCAAGTCTTCTTCAAAAGGTAGAGCATAAATTGGTCCAATATTCCAATGTGAGAGCAAAAGAGCTCCACCAACTGTTTAAGAGATGTTGAACCATTCCTGATAAACACAAACACCATCCAGAAGTGAGACCATTTTCTACCTAGAAAAGGACAAGTTAAAATTCATGTTCAATGGTGAAGGTAGGTGAGATAGCTGTATGGAAGCTTGTAGAAAGGGTCCAAGACCTAAGGATCATAGCAACATTGGAATCTAAAGACAGCTGGCATGTAGGAATTTGCAACTCTGTCACAAAGATGTTCTCCAAACTGTTCAGACAGCAACAAGACAAGAAATAACAGCAACAGAACATAATGTTTGTTGCTACTAGGAGTGTTTCAAGGGCAATACTGTTGTTATCTGTCAAAGAATGTTTGCCTAATACCTGCTGAAAGAATCCCCCTTCTACACTTCTCAGCTCACAACACCAAGTTCTATTTTGCATGTTAAAAGTTAGAAGCTCTGGAAAAAAAAACATAATTCATTGCAACAGGGATAATTATGTTCTACTATGATACTCAAATACCAGGAAAAGAGCTCAGGCCAAGAAATCCAGAGTCATGACTGACATCAGCCACTCAGAAGGACTATTTGGAGATATAAGCTCCTGCTTACGAGAGCGAAGATAATCACCAAGAATGTGATCTTTCTCCAAGTAGCAGCAGCTGTGAATGTACAGCATGTGCAACAAGCCTGTTCCAGTCAGGACTGGCTCTGAATCTTGGCATGAGCAAGTTTCTAATAGTACAAGTTTACCAAGCAGACCAATAGGTGCTGAGTTTTCCTGTAAACTGAAAATGAGGACTCCAAATCAAAGTTTTGAACGGTGGTCTAAAAAAAAAAAAACAAACAACCTCTGAAATAGAAAGGGGCTTCTTGGGAAAAATAATTTAGAAAAATAGGCACAGAAAAAATAGAATTTGCAGGAATCACAGAATCTTAGGAGCTGGAAGGGATCTCGAAAGATCATCTAGTCCAACACCCCTGCCAGAAAAGGATCACCTAGAGTACATCACACAGGAACGCGTCCAGGTGGGTTTTGTATGTTTTTTCTGAAGTTTACATGGAACCTCCTATGTTCCAGTTTGCACCCACAGCCCCTTGTCCTATCACTAGACATCACTGAAAATAGCCTGGCTCTGTCCTCCTGACACTCGTCCTTAATGTATTTGTAAACATTGATGAGGTCACCCCTCAGTCTCCTCTTCTCCAAGCTAAAGAGACCCAGCTCCCTCAGCCTTTCCTCATAAGGGAGATGTTCCACTCCCTTAATCATCTTTGTGGCTCTATGCTGGACTGTCTCAAGCAGTTCCCTGTCCTTGAACTGAGGGGCCCAGGACTGGACACAATACTCCAGATGCAGTCTCATCAAGGCAGAGTAGAGGGGGAGGACAACCTCTCTTGACCTACTAACCACACCCTTTCTAATACACCCAGGATGCCATTGGCCTTCTTGGCTACAAGGACACATTGCTGGCTCATGGTCATCCTTCTGTCCACCAAGACCCCTAGGTCCCTTTCTCCTACACTGCTCTCCAGCAGGTCAGCTCCCAACCTGTACTGGTACATGGAGTTGTTCTTCCCCGATAGGAAAAGGAGAAAGGATTAAAATCTCTTCATGTACAGCTGTTAAGCTTAGGGAAATGGAAGGTTAGGGATGTACTTACTGTTTCATATTCAAAAGATGAGCTACTAGGAAAAAAGGTATCCAGTTTGAGGGCTCATAATCACATAGCCAATCATATGAAAGTGTTTGAAATACATTTGAATTAATTCATTTGAACTCAAGTTTTCCTTCTAAGGAAACCATGGCAATATCAATGTATCTTTACAGATATAAGTTATTATCCCTTTAACAGGATAAAAAGTCTGCAGGTAACACTATCAAATTACACCATCTCATTTAATTAAGCATCTCTCTACCAGACTGAAGGTACATCCAAAGAACCTAGAAATTGACATTGTCATGTTAGACAGCAATGAAAACTGTAATAAAGCTCTTACGTTCTTTTCACCCGCTAGGACATCAAGAGGGAGAAAAATGAAAGAGTAACTGTTCTGAAATATTAGGAGAAACACTACAAGCATTTTGATAACCATTACTTCCTATCTATATCAGAAGAGCATGTTACCTTCTTAAATATGACCTCTTTGAAGGGTCTCTAGCCTTACATGTAATACAAAGCATCAATCTAAATTAAGGTTCCTCCATATCACTGCACAAAATAAAACCACCACCTTCCAAAAAGCATGTATAGTGGTGCAAACACTAAAAATGAAAAAAAAGGAACTGCCCATTTCTTCTCAACAATAATAATCTATTGCACAGTTAGAAGAAGCATTGCAAATCACATCTTAAGGGGATATGAAATAAAAAGTTACACTATGTTAAGGCACAGATATTCCAAATAGCAGTAAAATCACAAAGAGAGAGATGTATTGTTCATACATTTCTTAAAACAACCATAAAAAAAGTTATTAGCTACTACCAATTTTACATCATAATATAAACATTTGAATTTGTCTGATAAATTATATTTTATACTTCATCAGATACTGTTGAATGAAACTTTGAAAAGCAAGGAAGGCTGTCTGGCCATTAGAGTGCATTTGATTGCTTGTGGAAATTAAAAATAAACTGCTCACTGCAAGAAACGTTTACATTTTAGAAAATGTTTTAATTGAGGTAACTCAGCTAATTATTTGGTTTTGCTTGTTTGGGGTTTGAGGGACAGTACAGGGGGTTACCAAAAAGGTCTAAACATAGACAGGACAGAATCATGAAAAACAGAGACCCTACCTGTTAGCATCTGGTTGTCAAAACAAGCATAATTGGACTGACACAGTTAATAGAACGTGCCAAAGATATGAGCATTTTGCCAGTTTGACAGGTATAGGCTCAAAAATGCAGCACTTTCTTAACTTAATTGTGAATACAGGAAGTTTTCATTTGCATACCTCTTGTAATTGAAGAGACATATGTCCTAGTTGGTTCTGGCGCCGTTCTACATGCTGTCTTTCAGCACGCATTTCTTGTTCTAGCTCCTGAATTCTTCTTTCTACCCGTTCCGATACCTTCAAAAGGAAAAAAAAAAACACCCTGCAGGAAATTAATGCATCTTTTACCACACACTAAGGTAAAAAGGCAGAAAAGGTAAACACAGTACGGGGCAGAGAGAACAGAGAACACAATTTTATTTTATTGGTATGGAAAATAACTAGAGTTATATCAGTGAGTACTTCAGAAGTACTCAAGCAGTGAATTGACCTGCTATCTTGCTAGCAATATCCTCCTTTAGGTCTATGTATATTTTTCTCTACAGTGGTGGTTCTATTCAAGTGCTAAATATCTCAATATTGAGCTTGGTGCAGCCTAACCTGAAGCTGAAATACAAAAATCTTAGCTTCTCTGTCATGGGCATTATTAACATCTGGAGAGTAATTTCTTTCACAACTCCAGACTATAAAATAGACCAATGTTTGCCTCTTTCATACTCTGAAATCTGTGACTGAAAAAAACAGTAAAAAAGAGCTAAGTTACATCACTTGAAGATTTTTTCCCAATATTTTGTGAATCTCTATATTAACTAATATAAACAATAGTAGTTATTTGATAAAGCAATTTGGATTATAAACACAATAATTCAACCTTAAATTACAATACCAGAAGTACTTTATTATTGCATTTCAAGCTGCTAGCAAACAGCACCCTCTCATGGGCAGCAAATTAACATTGTTACTGTCAAAGATTAGCAAGGAAAATTTTTCTGTATCATTTCCTCCTTACCTTAAAACAAATTATTTTTTATAAATCACTAGAAAGCAATATATCCAATACTGAATGGTATTTAAATAGAAAGACTTATAAAACATTCAACTACTACTTTCTGATGTATGTGGAGGGGGACAAGTTCTCATCTGTACTTTCACCACCATGCATGCTTCTACTATCACTAGGTGTACGTGTAAAAAAATTTAACATGAGCAATACAGTTGTGTAGCAACAAAAACATAATTAAGGTTATATTTATATTCTGGGCTTCACAATACATCATGTTTAAAGAATGAAAGGCTTTTTCTTTACAATAGAATATGTCAGTTTGAAAAAGCTTCTTGTTTGCACAGCCAGATGATTAGTCAGCTTCAGTTTGGAATTTTGCATTTTCTTTTAAAACCACAAGGAGATGCTCAAAAAAGAGTACTGCATCAAACCACACTCTCTCACATAACTTATGAAAGCTCCACAGTCATAACCCAGAATAATTACTAAAAACTAAGGTGTAAAAGATAAGGACCACATCACAATATTTTTATTTGTTTTGACAACTACTACTTAGTGTTAACTCTAACAATTCACAAAATACTCCAGCTAAAGAAACAATTATACTATGTAGCAGGAACAGAAAATAACATTTTGTAATAACTCATTCTATCTTTGCTGAAAACTGGGAAATATCTGTCATCCTTTTCTCCAGATATATCCGAAGTACACAAATTAAACAAAGTCTTGCTTTTACATTTTTAAAAATCTTGGCTACATGTGTCTGAAGGCAGAAGCTTTCTCATCTCTCTCACACATCTTTTTCAAGTGAAGTTAAGAGAACACTAAAGCTGTTAAAGAAAATGTGTAATTTAGACTTGACAAACTATCCAAAAGTAACATCAGCCCCAAAGAGGATATTCAAAAGCAGAAGTGGGTAACTTTCTCACTGACTTGGGTCTAGTTCACCAAATGCACAGCAGATGACATGACAAGCAAGCTTCACATTCCTGAAAACTTCAGATTTCATCACAAATTATCACAAATACAGAATGAGTAAGAAAGTAACTTTTCACTAACTACAAGATAGCATGTGATTTCCCTTACCTCTAACATCTTTCAGTTCCCTCCAGAATACAACTGTTACCTTACTTCTAACAAGGTACTGAGAAAGATGCATTCATTCTATTTGGCAGTTGCACAGGAATTTCAGAGTTATAGACATAACCCTGTTTTAGAAAAACAACAACCAAAAAACAAAACCCACAAAATCAAAACAACACCAAAAGAAAAAAAAACAACAAAACAACAAACAATGAAAACAACACATCAAACATTGTGATGCTACTTATAACTCATTGGCAAAAAAACGTCCATCAAGAAATGATAGTATAGTGTTAGCTCATATTCTCCATACACAGAGCATAGAGAGAGGAGGCTGGAAGGGACTTCAAAGGCTAGCATAGCAAACTTACTGCCTGGCTAAACAAATAACTTTTTATATCTATATCATTTTTCTACAAGTCTATCTAACCTGCTCAGAAACATTCACAGAAAACTTCCACAGCCTCCCTAGACAATTTATTCACAGAACCACAGACAGTTAGGGGTTGGAAGGGACCTCTGAAGTTCACTGAGTCCAGCCCCCATGCCAGAGCAGGACCACCTAGGGCAGGTTACGCAGAAATGCATATTCCATTGCCTTTGAAATGACCTTTCTTGAAATGTCTTTCCTACAGTACAATTTTAGTCTTCCTTCCTGAATTTTACACCTATTAGCCTTGTTCTATGTTATAAACCACATTCAAGACTGAATAGTAGATTTCGATTCTGTTTTCCAAAATACCTGAAGTCCACCTGCAAATGTAACAAGCATCGTTATGTTGCATCATTTAGAGTGCTAATAAAAACTTCAGAAAGAACTAGATAAGAACACCAACACATACAATACAGTCCACTAGCTCTTCTAGTTTACTAGCTACACAGATATCTGGAGAGCTGCGTGTTTCTTCTAAACTACATTCAATTTTACTATATCTTACTGAAAAGCTTATTAAAACAGTATATGAAATCCTGTCTAAAAAAAAATCATTTAAAAAATTGCATCAAGGTATAAAAAACTACTGCTTCATCCTTGTAAATTCCTTATATGATAATAGAGTATATTTTTTCTTGACAAATCTGTATTGCTTTCTACTTAAGATTCTTGCTTGCTCTTGATATTTACAAATCAAGCCCTGGAAAAAATATTTTTCTTGTTTTTTAAGATTTGCTGGTTTTCAGTGTTCCAAGAACATTTTTTTTCCTAAGTCACCCCCCCAGTCATCCATGAATACTCACTCTAAAACAGTCACCAAGTAATTTTAAGATAACTTCAGATGGTCATTTAAATTTCTCTCAGCTAATCTGCACCCGGTTATTTAAAAATATTTTGCATGCCTTCCTTCTGCTTGCCAGTATTTTAAGCTGAGATCTTACACTTCTATTGCTGGTCACTAACTTGCAGCTTAACTTGTTGGCAAATATCAACATTAAAGAGGTATTAACCAGCAACCAACTTTCTTGGCATACTGTGGCAGTGGTTTTCCCTCTTCTGCAAGGAACAGACCAATTGCTTTGGTCTCCCTGAGAAATGGTAATTATTTACAAGTGACTCATCATCACTCTTGATGTTCTTTGTTGATGCATCCTATCATCTACCCCTGTGGCCTTTCCACTCTCATACATTTTAATGACTATTCTTATTAATCTAATTTAGTTTCCACTTTCTTTGTTCTTTCTCATTGTGTCTGAAGTAAATGCAGAACTTCAATTCTGCCCAATAGATATATTGCTACATTTCCTACACTTTGTCAGCTTTTCCCTTTTTAAGAGGATTTGCATAAAACATGTCTGAGTATTTGCCCAACTCTCATTTCTTCCAAATACTGAGGATTTTTCTGCGTGTAATGTCATTTCATAAATAAAAAAATTGCAACCTCACAAACTATTCCAAAAATGTATGAAATAACAAAAGACACAGTAAACAAAAGAACAAACCTTAGACTATGAGCATATTGATTCTTGTCCTGGTTTGAGCCAGGATGAGCCAATTTTCTTTTTACTGATATTTTTTCCTTCAGTGAACTCTCTTTTAAGCAGCACACTTGCTGAAACGAGCAGCAGGTTTTCCAGCTAGTGGACTGATAATGCCCGAATGTTTATAGTTACTGCTGACAGACCAAGGACACATTGTTCTGCATGTTGAATCTGCAGCTTTGGACACTAAAGGAGCAGAACAGTCATATCTACAACCCTCCCATAGGGAGGAACGGACTAGAGAGATGGCAGAATTGACCAACAAGAATATTCCGTCCCATATATAAATTTAGGGATCACAGAAGTCAAGCCCTTCTTCTTCCTTTTCCCTTCTTCCTTTTTCCTTCTGTTCACAGCCAGCATCCAGAGGGGACTCCACCTAGCCATCTCCTTTGATCCCTAGGCTTGTGCATTCCCGAACCTCATAACTCTCCCTCAGCTCTTGTGTACTCTGCCACTACTGCTGGCAGCAGTCCAAGACATTTTGGAACTGCTCACAGCCAAGAAAAGGGCTGTGGGAGTTGTGGCAGCGGGGAAGCGATAGGGGTCTTGCACATTCCTAAACATACTTGTATATATTTGTACATATTTTTTTTTATCATTAGTATTTAATTAAAGCTGTCTAGTTTAGTCTTCAATCCAGTAAAGTCTCTCTCTCTCATTCTTTCTCCTTCCCTACCTCGGTGGGAGAGGAGGGGGATTGAGAGCATTGTTGTCATAGGTTTAACTGCCGATCCTGAGTCAAACCATGACACTTCATTAAAGCAATCATTTTTTTTCCATCAAATTTTTGTTGAATGACCAATAGGCAAAGAAAGTTGTTTCAGGATAAAGGAATAGGCAACTCACTGGCTAACATTTGTTCAGATGGAAAAGTATTTTCTGGTAGACAAAATGCTTACTTAATGTGAAACATTAAGTAAGAAAAAGAGACAAAGACAGCTTCATAAACACTTCCTTTAGCCTATTTTATAAAGAACAGTAATTTTGAGATTAAGTTCTTTCATTTGTGTTCCTCACTCCCTAGTCTCCCCAAAACACTTTCAGTGGTACAGAACTGTCAAATATATTTAGACTTTGTGACATGTTTCAAGCAAGTAAGATCCTAGACAGAGGTGATCTCATAAATACTACATTCAGGGAAACAGAGAACTCAGTCTTTATTCCTTTGTTTTGGCTGTCAGCAAAGTACATACATTTAGTCTGAAATTAAAACATTAGCCTATAAATATTTTTTTATATTTAGCATTATAAAAAAAATGAGGTTGGACGTATAAGAAAATAAAACTAGCAGTGAAGTGAGAATGATGCAAAGAAATTGATATGGCACTTTGGAGGTATATCATGGTTGAAGCATTATATGGAAAGAACATGAAAGCTCTTGTACAAGGATTTAAATAACCAGGATACAATAGAAATTTTTGTAGGGTGACATGAAGCCAAAAGGATTAAAGTTGTAGGAGAAGAGACTGGGAAAAGAAGACGGAGAGCATGTAAGTCCATAGCAAGTTAAGCTTTACTATGATGCAGCTTGCAACATAAGAACCAAGTACTATCACTTATGGCTTCCTCTGCATTCTCTGGAAAATCTGCTAGGACATGAATGTGATTTAGCAGTGTTTAGCAGTAAGACCTCCACGAATGCTATAAACTTACATTCTCAATTTTGGAAAATTAGCATCATCACACACCATCACAAACAGGGTCACTTACCACTACATTATCCAAATTAACTTTCATTTAAGCTATACAATAAAAAAGTTCCAACACAGGTCCCTCTAAATCTGAGGCCAGTCCGATGCACTTCTGTGTAGGAACCTGCCAACAGTCTCCCTTGTCAAGATGCTAATACATTCTTTCTCCTATCCTCCTCAAAGATATTATCTCCCATGAACATCCTTTCTAGTTTGATCACCTTTATATCTAGTGATACTATGGCATTAAACAGGTGTGTATAACTTTGCAAACCTTTTTGTCAACTTTTCTTTTAACTTCCCTTACTGCATTTTTATATTTAACTGCTGACATTTATCTAACCATTCTACTTCTATCATTTAGCTATAACTTTGGAAGGACTCCTTTTTAGCTTGTGTAGTCACATCAGCTATCTTTTGATCTCCTTCATGTCTTTCAATGGATTTACTTGAAGTCACTACTGTAGTGTACCCAGATCGCTTTCACATTGTCTGGAAATATGCTACCTTCTTTTATTCCTCCAGATTTTTCTAAGCAGCTTTATTTTTTGCGCAACTCTCTTTCAGAAACCAAACATTATTCTAAGAGGTTTAACTTTTTTGCTCCAGTAGGGATGCCAAATGTAAGTTTGGTTTTGTCACTATTAGAAGGTTATTATTTCACAGACTAAAAGCCATGCACAGGACTCTTTTTTTTATAACAAATAACTTTATTTTTTTCTTCTGTGTAATGAAATGCTAGACCTAAATTACTGCATTCATAACAAATTAGAATGTGATTTCAAGGATGCATTTTTAGCAGCAAAAACTACCTGAATAATAACACTAAGAGCTGTGTCTCTTGATAAGGCTTTCATGCAGCAGCAAGATTTATGAAAATACATTAGTCTATCTAAAAGTTCCTCCATCACCACTTAAATACAAAGAATAGAATGTCCTTTATAAAACCAGGGAGACATTTAAATCACATAGATAAATATAAATTTGTGGAAGATGCTGGATACTTACAAAAAGCAGCATTCTACTTCTTGAACTTCTCTCCTGTTTTTTAGCTTTCCACCGTTGCTCTAGCACACAAGTCTTGCTGACTGAAATCTATTTCAACAGATTTTTGTTGCCCTCCTTCTTATGATTTATTTTATCATCAATGCACACATCATGGCAGCTCCTCTCACAATATGTAATGTATGTGGAGAGCTCTTAGCTATAGGTCAAGCAAGATGATAAAGATATGCAAGTTATAACAAAGGCTGGACAAGTTCCAGAAAAGAAATCCACAGAGGGATTTGACCATTCATCATACATGGCTAGATCTTTCCTTAATACATATTTATTCTGCAAATTTAACCCCAGTAATTGTTTTAACTTTTCAAGGAGGTCTTTGAATGAGAGGCATTTTTTATTTTTCCCCCTTTTTTTTCCCTCTTTCTGGTCTTCCCTCCATTTGTACAAGGTTCTTCCTAAAGATAATAAGAAATAACGAGAAGAATATTCCAGCTGAAGTATCTTCTAATCCTACACGTGAAAACCATCTCACTACAGCTTACTGCAGTATTTGTATCTTCACTAAAAAATGTCAAACACTTCAGCTTTTGTAGCTTTATTGCATGATAACGTTCTCTCCCAGCTAAGACTTACTCTTCTGGTATTTCTGTTACCATTAGCAAACAACAGAAGGCTTCCTTGTTACACTTCACATCTCTCACTTTTTGCTTCTCAGGTCAAATATTGCAACATTCAATTTCAAGTCCTAAAATCCTACTACAGGAGGTCACAAAGTGCTAGTTATTTCCTTCATTAATGAAGACAGTGGCTGACAGCACTGCAGAGGACTGGGGAGGAAGGTTTGTTTGTCCCATTCAACGGCATTGAACAGTAGTAGTGTAGCCAGCTGCAATAGCTATTTTCTTGAGAATCATCTTGTAAAACTAGAAAAACCCAGAGTTTTGCAAAAATAAAGAACTCTTTATCAGATAAACTGATACAGCAGAGATAACATTCTAACAAAGACAGTTTGTTTTCTTTTCCTAGGAAGGCCGACAAGGCAAGTATTCCTCCACTGATGGATTCTATAACATCAAGCATATAACTGGTGCTGATAGATTACAGTCTCACAAATTTCTGTCTAACTTCATCCAGAGTCAGGAACTTAGACAATTATTAAGTCTGTTGGTGCCAAAAAGTGGTCTTTGCCAACAATATTATTATCACTGACAAACAAATCAGTAAAACTGTTGACAAGCATTTAGTACCAGTTCATGCAATTTCAGGGCAAGATGAATCACTTATGGGAAAATAAGGACACAAAACACTTATTCTGAAAAGTCAACATTGTTGCTGATACCTTATTAATACTTACGTAAAACATACACTCAAGTCTTAGGAGCCCAGAACTAACTACAGGATTTTCACCTCTTAACTACTAGGGAGATTCTCAACTTCTCTTGCTCCTATTTGACTTCCATCATAATAGCAGATCTCTTTTATATTTAAGTGGTATAGCAGTTAATGTGTTTCCAGTAGATACAGAAGGGAAAGGGGACTACCATGGCTGTTCTGCCTCCTTTGTTACATTTGTCACAAAGCCTTTGGAGAAGAGTGCAGCCCACAGAGACTCTTCCATTATCCTGAACACATGACAACAATTGAAAAGGACAGGGAGGAAGGGAGGAAAATGAAACAATATTATTCATTGACATAACAAAGGAAAGCTTGTATCTATCAAAAGGTATATTCTACAGGTATGTTAGTGTTCAAACCAATTTTCAAAGATAATACCCCTTTCTCCAAGGCTGTGAACTTTAAAACAGAAAAATTCACTACATAAATGCTTGTAAAACACTCACTTTAACAAGTACCTGGAATACAAAACTTGTCTTGCAGACTTCATTATGAAAGGGTAACATTATAACAAGCTATAGTAGCCTAGATGACGTTCAGATATATGTACTAACATGCGGCACCAATTACCAACACACACATTAAACAAGAAGCCTGCATCCTACTTCATAACTACATACAAATCATCCTTTCATGTCAGTCACACTTACCGTTTCTTGTCTTTGGGACTCCGTGAGCCTTTCAGACAACTCTTCTAGAGTCTTTCTTAACTCAGCATCAGTCCTTCATAGAAAAATATATGTAATATTCTACAGTGCAAAAACTAAGTATCAACTATTATAATTTTAAGCAACAACAATCTCCTGGATTTTAATGCTACTTCAGTTTGCTCTACAGCCTCTGAACTCCTAGCATAATTAGAGATGATAATCAAGTGGAAAATTCATGACAAAAGCATTTCCGTTCCTCAAGTGAAGATAACAGCATCTAGATATCAGGTCAACAAGTACATAATTTTGAACATGTCTATACAGTCCTTTTAACTAGTACTAGCTCCTACTAGGAATTAGTAAACTAATTCCTGCTATTGATACTAGACAAAGCATCCTATGTTGAGACAGTATGTACTTAAAAAAAAAATTTTAAAAAAACATTATGGCCTGCATGACAGCTTGCCCTCAATAGACGCCAATACCAAGAATAAATAAGGAGCAAAGTTGTAATAAAAGAAATTCCCAAGTCCTTGTCAGTTTGTCCATATATAAAAAATGAAGAAAAGCTACATATACTATACAAATCAGAACTGTCGGATATTATTTACATTTAGAAGTGCTGCACAAGATGACATAGAACAAGCAGTTCATAGTACTGCTTTCATCTACATGTTGTGCAATTCCCCACTCTCCCCAAAGTTATCTTTTTAAATACAAAAGAACAAAGGGGTTTAAGAATTATTTTAAAACATAACAATTATTTTCCACACTATTCTTCACATGGAATTATATTCCGTTCATACCTATTTCTTCTTGAAAGCTCCCGACTGATGTCATCTCCCAGGCGAACTTGTTCACTGCTGAGATCTCGAAGAGACTGATGGAAAGAATGCAGCTATAAATTAAAGCACACAAATTCAGCCAAGGCTTAGGAAATCTTTTTTCTGTAGTATTCTAAAAATACATACACACTTACGTAAAATAAAGCAGATTAAAATACCCAACAAAATAATAAAATTCCATGAATTGCAGATGAGCCTGGAGTGGGGGATGAGGCTTCAATGCTTCTAATTCAATCAACCCTCACGATACTTGTGTATTGAAGTTTAATTTCCAGTACATTACTTGCTAAAACAGGTTATCCAACTATGTTTTATTCATTATGGTTCAGAGCTTAGCCATTCTGGTTACCTGACACTGCACCATCTTTTTAACCTTATGCAAAGCAAGTTGAAAGATCTGAACAGGTGAAATCACAACAGGAACATTTCCTGCTAATAAATGCTAGTGTAAGTAAAACAAAGTTCTGCCCAGCTATATGCCTTAACCTAAAAAGATGACAAATGAAATTGGAAGTGATCAAAAGAACACTATGATGCATTCAGGAACTACCAAAGCACTGTGGAAAGGTATTTTACTGTGCCCAAGACTTTTCGTACTACCAGACTGCTTTTTTTCAGAGGTTGGAAAAAAAACAAAAACAACAACTAACCACACCACATCCATTTTCCTCTGTAAAGCCTCCCATTTCCCCCATTCAGCAGCCCCCAATAATTTATAGTCAAAGTTTTTAATAAAATAAAAATTTAAAAAGTCATCTACCCTTCATGGGATAAAAAGCAACATCCATCCTACTGGTACCAACAGCGCTGTGGCCAGGACCATCATTATAAAAAGCCTGGTTTACAACATCCCCTTGTTCTATGCCCAAGACTTAAAACCTGGATCTTCCACAGCCCAGCTGTCTGCCCTCAACATTCAGACACTGGCACTACCATTTCCACTGTGTGACAATGTCACAGTTTGACTTAGGTCCGACAACAATGCTCTCGATCCCCCCTCCCCGCAACCCAGGTAGGGAAGGAGAGAGAGAAAAAGAGAGAGACTTGGCTGGATTGAAAACTAAACTACACAGCTTTAATTAAAACACTAATGAATGATACAAGAAAATATATACAATTATATACAAATATGTTCAGATACGGGCAAAAGCCTCTCGCCTCCCCCCACCCCAGCAACTCCCACAGCACTTCCCTGAACCGGGAAGAGTCCCGAGGAATCCCGGAGCTGCTGCTGGAGAAAGCAGAGAGTTATGGGGGTCAGGAGATCTCGAGCCTAAGGGTCGACGGTGATGGATGAACAGAGTCCTCCCTGGACGCCAGCCATGGACGGAAGAGAAGGGAAGAAGAAGAAGGAAGGAAGTTGTCTTCTGTGATCTCTGACCTTCCTCTGAGCTTACATAGATATATGGAATGGAATATCTTTGGCCAATTTTGCTGTCTGTCTAACTCAGCCTCCTACGGGGGGGGTCACAGATCTCCCCATAGTGTCTGAGCCAGCAGAGTGCAGGTGCAGCCTTGAAGCCTCAGTAGTTAGAAAAACATTCCACTGTCTTATCAGCCTAGCAGAACACACTGTTGCTAGTTACAAGAAAGCTTACTGAAGGGAAAAAAAAAAATCAGTAAAAAGAAAAATTGGCTTCATCCTGGCTCAAACCAGGACAGACAACTAGAAATTTCCACCTGACCCACAAGATTTGGAAAAGCACAACACATTTTCAGAATGTATCGGTCTAAGGAGAGAGACCCAATTGTGTTAAATGACCATTCAGCTGGAAAATTACCATAACTGGGAGTGGGAATAAAGGGATTATGGTTACAGAAAGAAGAAAAAGCCACAGCTTTGGTTAGGCATTACTGCTTTATCTCTGCCCCAGTATCTACCTATGGTCATGATCAATCACTACTTCTAATTCATCATGCCTCAAACCACTACACTCTTCTTACAAAGTAGTTAATAATTTATGAAAGTCATGTTGACTCACTGAAGAGCAAGAATAAAGAATAATCCAGCAGTTACCATGAAAGCAGGAAAAAAAGCTATTTACTTACATAGTTACTTACTATAAACTAGGAATTTTGTATGCCTTGTGGGAAGTCCCTTGAATAAAAAAATTTCTAAGGTATTTATAGACTATTTAGATGCAGTCTAAAATATTTCTAAGCTTTTTGGAAGCTTAGGAGGAAAGATTTCCATATAACATTATTTCCTTCCAAGGTTTATGTTTCACAATAACGTTGAGGAAGGAAGGAATAGGGGGAGAAGCAGACTGAAAGGACAATGAGGCAGAGTTAAATAAAAGTCCAGGAATTTCTGTTGCACTCAGACTTCCCAAAAAGTCAACGGAGATAATGTATTGCGGTTAAGTTTCAAATTAATTATTTAGCAGTTGAGACCAATTTAATAAGGTCAACATGAACACCTTACAATCAGCTACTTTATTAAAAAAATCAACTGCAACATCACTAACAGAGGAACATTCTAATATTAGTCATAATACATTTCTCCTGGACAAATTAGTCCACACAGAAGGATTCACTCATCATCTAGGGACTCTGTCAGAAAAAGCAAAAAATGGATACTGCAATCTCCTCCGCAGGATATGGAAAGCCTATAATCTTACCCATTAAAGCAATTCTTTTTTCTGAAGAGTCTGCAAGTAGACATAAATTAAGGAGTATGCCATACACATCATCTTATCCTCACATGATCTGCCTGAAGTACTGGGTCAAATTATCCTACTCCTAGGTCAGACTTAGAATTAAGATGGAGAACTAGCTGGCTGAAAATCAATCTAGGCCACACTGAAGTAAACAGCAAAAGCAGTAATATCTTGTGCTATTAACAAAAGCAGATCAATCCTCTTTATAGCCACAGTGGATTTCAGCATGTAGGTGAATGTCAATGACATATTCAGAGATTATTTCTCTTTTTCATACATGGCCTAAAAAGCAAAGAGATTATTTTCATACATTCCTTTTGACATCACTACAATCTCCACCATTTGATCTGTAATGATAGATCTGCATGAAACTTCATGACACTGACAAATACAAGAGGTGACTGCCTAATGAAGAATGGTATGTAACATTGAAAGCACACTTCGTAGCTGAAACATTTGTAAATGCATTATTAGAATAACCTCATTTGATGTAAAAAGAAAGACCAGTGACCATGTATTGCCTTTTTGGGGAAGCAACTCCCATTTGTGCTCTGTACCTGGTCCAAATGATCTGCCTCATTGAGAAATCGAACACTTGCAGATCTAGACCTTCGATGTTTATTGACCTGCAAGTCTCCATAATCCTTGAGAGGAGAAGTTGGCAGGAAGTGGCGATTCCCTTTAAGAGATAAGAGATGAAAAAATAAGCAGGAAAATAAAACTGTATGGGAATTTTTTCATTTCGCTTCATGAAAAACACATTTCATCTTGCCAGTATCCTTATAGGCCACATTACAGACAAAACAAGTACTGAAGTAACATAAAATGCCGAGGCTACGTCTTCTTTATCTCTTCCTAGGATTCTTCATTATAAATATTTCTGGAAAACAGCCATGTGATTGGTAAGAAAGAGGTTTACTTTGTTCCTCCAAGCAATAGGTAGCTTCTTCCTCAAATTTTCTTTGTCCAGGCAACAGCTTTTCCTCCACCTGGATCTGTAGCTTCCGACTACAGTATTTCACAGATTTTATATTAGAAAAATGAAAGTTTTAGAGCTTTCTACTAAAATATATTAAATGCTACTTCTGGAAGGAATACTCCCAAATAAACCTTCTCCTAAAATAAAATTAATTTTAAGAGAGATGTGCAAGAAAAAATTACACTGGTTCCATTTTTCCTTTTCTACTGAGCTTTACATAATTTCATCCATAGATCCATAATCTTATGCATTTAAAATTTAACTTCCCTTTTTGCTGTGTTGCAAGCTTTAGAAGCTTCAATATTTTTTTGATTTAGCTTTAACTTCTGTGTACCTAAAACTCATACAGTGGAAAAGGGATTTTCTCTACTGAAAGAATCAATGTTTCATTTAAATCTCTCAGGATATCTTCAGAAAAGACTGTAACACAAAGCTTTAAGAATGTACCAAATAAACAACTCCATAATTTAATGCATGTCTCCCAAATTTCTAAACTGAATTTCTTTGAAGTAATAAATTATGACTTTTCACACCACTATCTTTACATATTTTTCTTCTAAAGTTTTCTCTTTCCATAAAACAGCTATATGACATATTTTGAGTGCACTCAAGCACCTGAAGTATTTTACCTGACACTCCTTCTCCATCCAGATCACTAGGGTATAAACTTGAGAGAGAAGAACTTCTCATTCCAGAGTTTCGGGATAATCGCTGGCTCCTTAATTGGCCTATAGACTGTTCCAGTGTTTCTTTTAACTGCAGAGAAATTACAATTTACTGAAATATGAACATAGACTTATTTTTTTTTAATCATGCATGTAAGATACTATTTTTCAAAAAGTCATTAAGAGAATCAAAACTATTTTTAAGCCAAGTCTAACTGGGAATTAATAACAGCTTTCTTCAATATCTCATATGTCATATTCCCACAATTACAGCAACACGTTTCCAACATCAACAATGTCAAATATCAGGTTTATTTAAAAAGTGGTGCAAAAAACCAGGAAAACTCAAAAGAAAAATATGGCACCTACAACCAAAATAAGACCTATTTGCTCACAATGCTCAATAACAGCCCTGTAAAATCCAGAAAACAACTTCAAATAATTTTTTTAATTGGAAATTAAAATTGGAATTCCCTACCTGGAAACAATTTGACATATGGCTATCAAATTTCACTAACAGCTTTACATTAAGCCCTACTTTTAGGCATCACACTTCCTGAAAAAGCTCCCATTCCCAATATAAGAATTCAGAACTAACTATATTCCTAAATAAGTTCCTAATTTTTCGAACTTCCCTCTTATTTTCTAAGACTGCATTTGCTAACCTTGATTCTTAGCCAAAGGTGTGCTTTTGTCACACCTTTAATTTGACAATCCACAAAACATCCATTTCTAAAGGTTCACTTTTCCTCTCCCTAACAGTGGCTTGTACACAATGATTGAATTGCTGCTTTAGTCTGGCAGAATTATAGACAACTCATTGCTTCTTTTTCTGGGCAACATTTTTTTCCCAAAGCATAAAACACTACTTTCAAGCTTTCTGAATCTTTCAATGTTTGTTTAAGTTCTTTTTAAAGCATTATATTTTCATTATATGGCATTGTTCAAACAACTTTATTATCACAAAGAAAATCTGAAACCAAAAACCTTAGGGATTTTCTAATGCTTTCTTAAAGCAGAAGAACATACAACAATGCATGTACATAACAAAAGACCACTTCTGTATTCAAAAAAGCTAAAACTTTTTTTTAAATCACAAAAATGCAAGAGGATCAAAGAACAAACAGCAAGGATTTAGTTTTCCAGTGTAAGTTGGCTCTGTCAAAGACATTTCTTGCATCTTCAATAGGACAATAAAAACTCTGATTTAATCTACAGGTGCTCAGTTTGTATACTTTAGCTTTAAAGCACTCATTTTTATTCTTTCTACTTGAAACCAGACAGCTGGATTTCTTTATTATTAATATTTTTTTAAACAAAGAAACATGACAGTATCCAGAGTTAACAGCCTTACTCCTCAATCTGTTTCTTTAGAACAGAAGAATGGCCAAAAAGTGTTAAAAATTTACACTAACACAGTCATATTTTAAGGTATTTGTCTTATCTTTAAAAAAAACCATAACCAAAACCTTACTTATTAAAAGAATTAAGAGAGGCTAGTCACAGTAGAACAGAGATATTAAAAATACCCTTCATTTTAACCAATCTGAATTCCATTCCTCAACATCTCATTTATAAGCTATTTAAATCCCAACAAAACAGTGCCTAAAGTTTTTTGTTTTCCCTATTTTTTTCTTCTTTCTTTTGGTTAGGTTTAGTTTTGTTGGGCTTTTTAAATTTATTTAAAGAGATAAGCATCAGTGCTATCAGAAAAAAAATGAGAATAACGTTGCTCTGGAACAGAGCACATATGGAGAGTATAATGTTCCCTCCATTAGAGGATCAACAATAGCAACAATGAAATAAAATTCTGAGCAGCAAATCTCCCTGTGAAGGTAATTTATAAAGTAGAATGGAAAAGAGCTCCTCAGCAGCCCAACAGTCACCAATTCATGAATGCAAATATGCTTCAAAAAGGCCTGAGAAAGTACTTTTAAGGAAAAGATCACAAAGAATTCAAGAGTCAGACAGTACAATAGTCAGCACAAATGACAGAACTGAAACACATACCCCATTTGAAGCAAAATATTCTTAGATAAATAGTCTTGTCTCATATAGTAAGAACACTTGACAGACTATTATTGTGAAAAAAACAAACAAAAAAATTACCATCCAAATAAGAAATATATTCAAGTTTTTCTTAAATATTTATTGTAGAAGGAAAACAGATTCACTGTTTCCTGATTCCAGCTGCTTCTTCCCACATATCAAATTCATACAATATATGCAAGTGCACACTTCTGCTTCAGAAAGGGAACAGGAACTCAGAAACATGCTATCTTTACTAATAAGACGAAGTTTATTATTTTAAGCTCAAGCACAAGATGGTTCATGTCTAGATTTCTCCTCCACTTGTGCCTTAATAAAAAACACCTGGCATGACTAAGAAGAATGGACCTGAAATAAAAAATAAACTTGAGTGCTGTCTCACTCACTTGGTAGTTCCTATGGGAAAATCTTTCCAGAATAACAATGCTGAACTCCATTTAGTATACACATTTGTTAAAAACAGACAATCTTAAATTGTTCCAATGCCCATCAGAAACTCCACACATTCAATACCTAAGTAGAGCTTATAAATACAGATGCAGCATTCAAACAGAAAGAAAAGGCATATAATATCCCAAATTACTTCCTTGCAGAATTTGTGCATACTGATTTAGAAAGCAAGCTGTCTGAAGAAAAGAAGCCTTATTTTCTACACACTTGCTTTTCCCCCTCTTTTTCTTTACCCTCAGATGCAAAATACTCCTACCTGTCATATGTATCTGTTTCAAAGCAGCACCTGTTGGAGTTTGTTTGTAACCAAGTTATAAACATTTCTTGCCCTACCAGCAGTTATTTTTTCTACTTTCTCTACCTAGATACCTATTTTCTAACTCGTAGAAGCTTCATATTTATGAGAATTTCACCCCTTCTGCAATTCAGAAAAAGCTGGTCAACAGATTAAAAAGTTGTTGCAGAATGACAGGAAAAAAACCTGAAGCAGTGTGATCACAATCACATTCCCTGCTGTAAATCAATTTTGATCTGATCATTTATTTATGCAAAATAAATATGTTTCCTAAGACTTTTGTTTTCAGCTCTGCATTTTGTACCTGGCATAATATTATAACATAACAATCTTTGTGGTGCTTATAAGCCAGAAAAGTAATGAAGCTATAAGACCTGCCAGAGTTTCACTATATATGACTATAGTTTGATTTAAATTGCTAAAAAAAATATGAAAATTTTCTGTTTACATCTACTGAACTCTTGATATATTCTGTCCACTACTACCAAGTCTTCAGCTATGAATGCTATTAGCAGAAAAGATTTAAGAAGTTAAGATAAACTGAATGTTTCTCACAGTTGCTATTGCTTCGGTTTGTTCCTTGTTGTATTCTCTGTATTGTCCTAGCAAATGGTCAACATGTCTTAGATTTCTGTTGGTATCCTTAAAAAAAAGTTTGAGGAAGAAAAGTTAAAACAGAAACCTCCTTTAATCAAACATTACTGTTGTCTTTATCATTCTTGGTTTCTAAGAGTAAATTGATAACAGCACTTTTTAAAGGGTCTACGAATTCAAAATCCATTCAAGTAACCAGAATCTGAAGGTGTAAACATGGCTAAAGGGAAGGAAAAAAATAAAAATCCAAAACCACACACTATCACTTACAGTACAACAGTAAGGTCTCAGCTTCAAACAGAAAGTGTTTTAAGTTTCAACCATTCTGTAAAAAAACCTTTTTATTCCAACGATCTTAACCTTACCTGCCTGTAAAAGAGGACTAAGTTAAGTGAGAAATAACAAATTTTTGAAGATCAACACATTAGGCAAGCTCTCTGCATAAGATTCCTGCATAAGGATTCTCTGACCAGATTAAAAGATTAATCAGATGGCAGATGTTCTGAAAAGCAGTCCTTTAAAAGCAATTAGCTTAAAACTAGAATTTCAGCAGAGCAGCTAGAAAGAGGCTAGACAGAAACAGGACAATACCAAAGACTTTATTTCAAAAAAATAGTGAGATTTCATTCTTATTAACTCATCTATTTCTACCTTGATGATCATTTTTCAGATAAGTAGTTTTGAAGTTTAAATTCAGCATTCTATATGGATTTTTCTCTTCTCACTTATTAAAAAGAAGAAAAAAAAATCCCAGCAAACATTACTTCAATACAAGAGGTAATACATAAGCTAATCCACTCCAGGTTTTCAGAATTGCCAACTAGAGAAGAATGCAAATGATTTCTCAAACAATAAATGGTGTTAAGGTAGCCAAATATCTCCTCCCACTTGCAAAACAGACTCAGAGATTTCCTTCACTGTACCCACTGAAGAAGCAGGAATTAAATGAACACTTTTTCCTGCACAGACATGGATCTCTTCCAAGCTTACAAACACTGCTTTTCACTGTGATGTTGTACATCTAGAAAATACCAGATTTATAAACTCCTTCATGACAGAATTGACTGCCTACATATTTTCTTTATTAGGAACTGGGAAATTTTACACAGTACAAGACAACAAAGATGGGTCTGGAACTTTCTGCTACAAAATTTAATGCCTCTTGTGAGAATCTGACAAAGTTTATTTGGCATTATTCCGTTTACTAACTTTATAAGCAGTATTACTAAATACCTCAATTTTTCTAACACTATTCTATGACTTCGTGAAATAATGGCTGTGTGAAAGTGTAACAAGCCATATACTTTCAGCTCAGAGGCAATATGATCAATTTCCCAAAACATATTGGTTTGTACAGAAAACAGCATTTCCCATAATTAAGTATTTTCCACAATTTCAGAAAATGAAAATTTGACCTTTACAGAAATGCAGACTCTATAAATAATTTAAAACTGTATTTTGTAAACAACCTGTAAAGTGCTTGCTAAAGTATGGATCTTCTCTGTAACTTCTTCAGCACCATAGTTCTGGGCTCTGTTGTGGGATGCTCTCATAGGTGGTCGCCTTCCTATTCGACCTCTAAGAAAGTTGTCTGAATCGCTGGATGAATCTGCCATTAGTATCTCAGAGTCTAGGAGGGAAGAGCAGAAAAAGTAATGAGTGTTAAATCCCGATTGTAACTGAACAGTCTCTGACTTGCAGTGTTCCCAAAGCAAATTCATAGACTCAGACAACATTTACAGTAGCCTTTCTAGTTCAGATAAGCAGGATGCATTTTTGAAGCAAATCTTCCAACTGCTACTCAGTTATTATGTTTGTTCACATCATGAAGCAGCACCAAGGTGCAAGAGGCAGAGCCCATTAGGGAAGAAGTAACTCAAAAGATGGACTCTCGCTACTTCTAAGTGTTCAGTATCCAGGATGAGACCATAGCTGAAAGCAAATTCTCTATCGAAAACATACGGTGGAGACATCAGGGCTTTATCAATTGTTCTGCTCTACAGAAATATTCCCCTTTGCCTCACATTACTTGCTAAGACATATTCAGATTGCCCAGGGCCAACTAAGACAAATAACCCTAAGTAACCAACTGTCTAAAGCAAGTCTACAAACCAGTATCTTAATGACTCAAGAAGAAGTGGTGATATTATGGAAGAAGGTAAGTGCAGTGTCTTACAAAGAAGGAAAAGAAAACTGTGGCCCAGAAGTTATAGACCAATGACCTTAATTTAAATACGTGGAAAAAACTAAAATATACTATTTAAAGTTTCCAACAAAAGATCTGTTCTCAAAAAATAAATAAATAAAAAAATAAAAAACCAATGTATGCATTGATATCAAATCAATCGATCTGGTAATGAGTAACTAAATTTGTTAAATAGGGAACAAGCAATAGAGGTCTTTTTGGTTTTTTTAAGACCTGGGACACACATGACATTCACAAAAGTAAGCTAAAGAAACATGAACTAAATAAAGCTTTCCTAAAATGGAAGAGAAACTGAGTATCAGAACTCATACAGCAGTTAAGAGAAATTTAGTGTCAAATTGGAGACCAGTACCAAGAGAGAACCTAGAGTGAAGCAGGCAGCTATAACTGCTACAGTAAAGTCACATAGTAACTGATTAAAATGACAACCCTCAAGAGGAAGGTAAGGCAGTATTCTTTTCTTAAACTATTACACACTGCAGCAGTTTGCCTAAAGGTCATGGAATCACCATCATAAGACCTGTGTTAACAGCATCTTTTAGGAGAGACAGTCTGAGCCTACTTTAGGAAAAAGGAAATAGATTGACAGACTCTTGAATTCTCTTCAGTCCCGTGGTCAACAAAAAAAGACCACAGTAAAGGTGTAATTTTTCTTGTTATTGGAGCAGAATTTTTTCAAAGAAACTATGGATGGGATTAAGTTTTCATATTGTAATTTATATAGAGCTGAGTCAATGTTTTTCCAAAGCCTTATATTTAAGTTTTAAAAGGTTGGAAATTTGTGTCCCCCAGACTTGAATAGAAAGCCTTCAGACATTAGAATAAACCAATGTACTCGTCTGTACTCAAGTACAAAAATATTCCTTGCATTTTCTGACATTATTAATTTATCTCATCTTCCCTCCCGTTGTCTCACTAAAGCACATTTTTACTGCCAGTATAAGAATTCACTATTCCAGTGCCTCTCACTACAGCCAGTTGAAATGAAGTCTAAATGAGACTGAGAAAACATTAACACTGAGCACTGAGAAACAGGAAATAAAAGACAGAGAAAAATAAAAGGAATGAAACAGCAGTAGAAATAATAACATGGAATAATACTAGTTTTAACCATAATTCAGAGAAAAAAAAATAAACAGACATCAAACAAACTACTTAGTCTTTCTTGAATGTTACTACATCAAAGTGTATTTTCCTTTCAGTCTTTACTAGAACCTTATGCAAACACCAGCAAGATCCATATTCTACCACACAAATCACAGGTATCACCAATAAGCATGAAATGAAACTTCTCTCAAAGTTGGACATCACTTGTTCTAGAATAATCCTGAATTCCTTGTATAACTGCAGCGTCAGTTCTCTGTGCTGAAACATCTCTTTCTGATCTTGCCAAGCATGACAAGCAGCACAACCCCTCAAAACCCAATAAACTGATAAAGTGATTAACTTCCTCCAAGCTTAACAAAGTTTTTCAGTTTCAAAGCATTTTGTGAAAATATCTTTAAAATGCCAAGTAAAAGGGAAACAATGCTAATGGCCATACTAAGAATTAAGCACAAGATCAGCCTTATTAGGGATGAAAAACTCAACCCTGAGACATTAAGCTACAGAAGCCTAGTCTTCATCTACTGTTGGACCTATGTACCAGCATATTTCGCCTGACTGATATCATTCTTAAAATAAACATGACTGTCTGTGTCTGTCATATTATCTGAACTACCAAGTTATAGTGAATGTTTTGGCAACTTAGATTCTTCAGAACTCCATTCACAGCTTCACAGGAAGCAAATTCTCTTATTCTCTTAAACTGGACAGAAAATCATATGTTGGATTTACTCTGTAGAATACTTCACAGAAGTATCCCACAACAGCTAGAGTGAAAGATTAGGCTTAATTCCACCATGTCACATTTCTTTTTAAAAGCTGAGAGCCCAAAACTAATACAACTACAATATTACCAGTTTCACGTTATGAAAAAGGGCTTTATAATGATATATGAGTAGGCAGAGAAATTAAGAGCAATGAGACATGTAAGAACATTCAAATTCTAGAAAAAGTTTTAACTCATTTCCAGATGAAATGGCATAAACCAGCAGAATTCCAAAGGTTAGGTATTGCATCTCATCCAACAGGAACTAAATTCTTAAAATCTCAGAACATGGCCCTATATGTACCTCTAGTTAGAGAGGTTTGGAAACTTGTCAGAAAGTGACAGGCACTGATAGAAATTAAAAACAGTAGTTGCCTTATCTGCTGAAAACCTTGTTCTGAGAAGTGTCTCAAGCATAAGAGCCTCAACTACTGAAAAGCTATAAGACTTGAGAAAAGATTTGCAGCAGAAAAGATTAATGGGTTTGTATTCAGCTGTCCAAAAATAGGCTCATTAAGATACTTACTGAAGAAAGGCTAGTAAACAAGTTAAACATAAAAGAAAACACTAGACACAGGAGTACATTTTGTCTGAAGAAAATCTTCTATTTATGGTTAAGTAGCACTCCTCTTTGCTGACATAAGCAACCTAAGAGGAACCATAAGCACTTTTAAGTTGAAGAAGTTTTTTTTTTTATAAACCAACATCCTAATTTTTAAAGGAATTACAGAACTTTCATTCTAGATTAAAAATACTCTTAAAGAAGTAGAAATTTGTACAAATATTATGTATGCATACTTGCCCATTAATTTAAACCAAAAAACCCCTCTATTATCACTTTTTCCAAAAACCTAGATGGATTTCAGCTCATGATCATACGACCTACCTTGATTTTTCTAGTATCAAGTCTACCAAACAGATTATAAGCTTTCTTGCACTGATTAAAAAAAAAATAATTATATATATATATATATCTCAATACTCAGTATTTTCCTTGCCTGTAGGGGGAAAAAAAAAGTTTCAGTATCACTAACACTCTTTTGCTAAGAGATCTGTAGGGTAAAGCAAACATGAAGCACAGCTGATAGTCTCAACAGCAAGTTCTCCAGCTCATGTGAACAAAAGATGAACCCACTACATACAATCCAATTATTTCTCATATTAAAGAAACTGGAACAGGTTGCCTAGAGAGGTGGTGGGGGTTCCATCTTTGGAGACAATCAAGGTCAGACTTCATGGGGCTCTGAGCAATCTGGTCTAGTGCGAGATGTCCCTGCCTATTCTGGGGGGTTGAACTAGATGACCTTTATAGGTCAATCTTTTCTAGTTGGAGAAGTGACTGCTTTTTGTAGGGGAGTTGGACTAGATGACCTTTATAGGCCCCTTCCAACCCAATACATTCTGTGATTCCATAAGCTTATATATTTTATGTCGGTGTTTGTATTTGTTCTGTTCTTTCATTACATCTGTTTATATTTAAGCCCATGCAGCTTTTCTCCTCTTCCTGATTGCTTCTCTCAGCTGAAAAGGGGTCATCAGGTGAGAGTAAACTGCTTGTTTAGGCCCAGCTAAATAAATCTAGTGATTCAGTGCTAAAGGCATGTTTGAAGCCTTATAGTTAAGACTGGGCATAACAAAAAAAAGAAATAAATATATTGATAGCCATTCCAGAAAAGGACGACATGACAGCTGAAAGGCCCTTTGCTTAAGTGTTTCTAACTGAGCCAACTTTTTTTTAAAAATGAGCAAGGTTACTCAGCATGGTGACATTTCACCATCCTGCTTTTAGACACCAGTACTGCATTTTACTGTCAATTTGTGACATTGTGTTCCCAGCACTCTTCAGCACCACAACACAGAAGGCGGCTTCTTCACGCTGTTCACAATAAGCCTAACTACTGTCCTCTGCAAATCTTTCTCCTGCTGGCCACGTACCGAGCTTCACCAACGCCTGACCTCATCACTGAGGGCCTCTGGGTCTCCTGGATCTGTTGCCCCGGACCGAACGGGGCAGCGGGACGACCCCAGCCCGGCGCCGTGCTCGCCGACGGCCGGGCCTCCGCCAGGCCCGCTGGCTG